CGTTGGCGTCCAGCACGCGCACGTGCACGAGCGCCTCGCTGCTGAGCGCGGGCGAGCCTCGGTCTGCGGCGCCCACGCGGAACTCGAAGGCGCGCAGGGCCTCATAGTCCAGCGCCCGCAGCGCGAACAGCTGCCCGGTGTCGGCGTTGATGGACACGAGCGAGGCGGGGTCCGGCTGCGGCTGCGGCTGCGGGTGCGGGTGCGGGTGTTGGGGCGGCAGCAGCGAGTAGGTGACCTGGGCATTGGAGCCTGAGTCTCTGTCTGTGGCGCTGATGGTGCCTATGAGCAGGGCGGGGCTGTTGTTTTCTGGGACAAAGAGGGTGTAGGAGGATTGGGTGAAGGTGGGGGCATTGTCGTTGACGTCGGAGACCTGCAGGGTTATGGTGTGCTGGGTTTTGAGCCTGGGTGTCCCCAAGTCGGTGACAGTGATGGTGATGTTGTACTCCCTGATGTACTCCCGATCCAAAGGTTTCTCTGTTACCAGAGTATAGAAATTTTCCACAGATGGCTTCAGGACAAATGGAAGATCATCGTGGATAGAGCACAACATTTTCCCATTGTTCCCTGAATCTCTGTCTCTAATCCTAAAAAGAGCAACGACTGTTTCTGGTGCGTTTTCTTCAATAGGACTATTTAGTGATGACAGGAGAAGTTCCGGTGGATTATCATTTATATCTGTTACATCAACAATTACGGTACACTTTCCAGAAAGTCCACCGCCGTCTTTGGCCTGGATAGTTAATGTATAAGTCTGAATTTCCTCATAGTCCAATTTGGCTTTAAGATGAAGACTGCCAGACGTTGAGTTGATTTGAAACGTTTTGAGAATTCTTTCAGTGGCATAGAAAAATGCATACACTATTTCCCCATAACTTCCTGTGTCTGAATCTTTAGCTGGCACGGTGATAACCAGAGAACCCACCGGGCTGTTCTCGGGTATCTTGACTTTGTAGAGGGACTGCCCAAATTCAGGGGTGTTGTCATTTATGTCTACCACTAGGATGTGTACCAGAGTGGTCCCTGATCTGGGTGGAGAGCCCCCGTCGAAGGCCGTGAGGGTTAGTCTAAGCTCAGGCATCCTCTCGCGATCCAGCACCCGATCCAGTACCAGTTCAGGAAAGATATTTCCCTGCTCGCCATCATGCACATTAATGTGGACATAACTAGTGGGGCTTATAGTATAGTTTCTCAGACTGTTGTTTCCAGCATCTGCGTCCTGTGCTCTGTCTAGGAGAAATGTGGTCCCTGGAGTGGCACTTTCTGATATTTTCAACAGAATTTCCCTGTCTAGGAATACTGGGGAATGATCATTGATATCTCTGATCTCTAGTTCAGCACGGATAATCTGAAATGGCTTTTCTAGTATTAACTGGAAAGGAACTACACAGGGCTCTTTTGAGCCGCACAGCTCCTCTCTGTCCAGTTTCTCATTTAGGAGTAAATCACCAGTCATCGGATTAATCAGTAAAAAGCCTACATTTTGGTCGGAAACAATTCTAGATCCTCGGGCTGACAGTTCCTCCACCCCCAAACCCAAGTCTCTTGCTAGGTTGGCCACAAAAGTGCCTCTCTCAGTTTCCTCCACCACAAAATAATGAAGCGGCTCCGTGATAGCCCAAGACATTCCCAGAATTACGCAAAGAATAAGCACTTGCCTTTTCTGCGCAGTATGCTCCAATCTGGCGTCCATCCTTTGGTCTATTTTCCAAAAACAATCCCACTCAGCCTCAAGCAGTTTTTGGAAATGACAACAATTAAATCCTTATAAATGAGCTAAATAACAGCAAGTCTTGTGAGGAGAGACCCGCACTTTCTCTCAACTTAAATTACCGTGTTTTCTCCTCCTATCTAGTCAGACTTCTTTTTGACGCTGGCATCAGTAACGTCCTTTGTGAGGGTTATTTTTTTTTTCTGTCTCTTTTTAGCCAGCAGCGCCACCTTGCGGTTTATAGTTGTTATTCCTGTTCCCGAAGATAGACCAAAAACATGGCGGAGGAAAGGCATTTGGCCACCGGAATTAACCCCGTGCCCTTGCTGTTTCATTCCATCTCTTGCCTCAAACGATCACAGTAATGCTAGTCAGTAACAACTCACCCTCTTTTCCCCCACTGATAATCTGAATTTGTAGAAAAAGAAATATGTTGCTGTTGTTGTTTTAAAGTCTCAGAGCATTAAACTCTGCTTGCCTATCCAAACGAGAAACCCCAAGTATGAATAATTTAAAGAGCAAAATAAAAGGCAAGTGGTAGTAAACAGGCAGGGAGAATGTGGAGATGGAAAGGGAACCTGCGGAAGAGGAGGATGGAAGAGTAGAAATGATCCTACGAAGTATGAATACCAGTTTCTCAGGATGAATGTAATTATTACATATTAATCAAAAAGCAGTTAAGAATTTTGTATATTTGCTTTATTATCAGTGAACCAGCCAACCTTTCAAAATTAAAATAATATTTTTCAATTGAAAAACATTTAAAATGATGAAAATTTCCTATTTAAAATTGTTAGTAAAGAATATGAAAGCGATGCCTACCTAAAATGTCAAATCCTGGTTGTGGATCTATCATTTATTTGTTAATTGGTTAGCAATAATATAGTTCCTAAGAAAGAACAGTGGCCTTCTTTTAAGTTTGTTGTGAATTCAGGAATACTTTCATTGTAATGATTTTCACTCTACATATAATACTTTTTAGAATATTTTCTGCCCTGCAACCTTCATGCTTCACCTGCTGTAAGTATTATATAGAAATTAGTGTTCGTATAAAACCTCAATGCCCAGGAACTCCAGTATATAACATGTACTCTGAAAGTAGGTCAATATTGGTTTTGTAGAAATGTTTCTCTTAGCCCATGTTTTTGGTGGTTGATCTTCATTTGAGAAAAGCTCTTTTTATAAAGAATATCTTCTTTCATATTTAAAGTGACTCTTACATTTATTTAAGTTATCCACTTATTCCTTGGCTTTTTAATTCCTGAGCCCATGATATAAATGCAGTTGAGGCATGGTGCATTATTGTTCTAATGCAGATATAGATTTGATGTGTCAAGATGGTTTTAAGATTTTTGTGGCTCATGTTGTGTTGTTATAACTTTTTTGGCTCTGCTATTGAACTATAACCCTGCCTTAAAGGGTGGTTTAAGATGCTTTGTATTTATTTTCATATACAGCTTTCATAAGTATATTGCTATTTGTGTCTCCATGATTTATTATAATTTGTCTTTCACCCTGGTTGGATTTCTTGGTTTCACTGGTGGTGAAGACCCATAGCTGTCTTTTCTATTTCACCATTGGCTATCAATGTATTCCAATTTTGTTCTCTTTTTTGTGATTTGTTTGTATTGAGTGATGTTTAGGACATGGGATGGGATATGTCACACTGGGGCATACCTCACTCCTGTCCTGCAGGGAATGTCCATTCTGATCTTCCTGGGATGTTCTTTGGAGCATTGTCTTGTTTTTCAAGGTGCTGTCCTTGCTGGTAGCAGCCTCCTCAGGCCCTCTGCTGACTGACTCTTCCTCAGAACAAAATTTTCTCTTGTTGTTGGGGACACTCTTGCTGACTGCCTCTTCTGGTTCATTAGCTATTACCACCTTGGGTAAAGATTTCTTTTTTTCTGGGCAGACTTGTGCTGCCACCAGCTGTCTCTTCCAGATCACTACTAATCAATTCTTCTTTGGGAAAAGATTTTTTTTTTGAGGTCAGAGATAGAGACAGATGGATCCTCCATTCCATTTGCCCAAGAAGCCTCCTTGTTCTCCTGTAAATAGCTTGTATTCTATTTTTAATATACTTTAAAAAATTCATTTTTCCTAGTTATTAGCATTTTATTTTCCTTCTATACTTTTATACCTTTATCTATATCTTCATTCTTACTCAGTGTTACTCCACTCTCCTTTCTATTTATGGTAAAACCTGCAAGAGCTACTTTATTGATATCTTAAAATGCATTCTTCATAATAATATTTGACCTTGGTTCAAAATTGAATTGCAGTAAGGAACTTATAATGAAATACAATGGATCTCTGTCTTTTCCCTTCTCATTGTTGCCAATTTCCTTCCCAGAGGAAATCATTTTTAAAATTGTATTCTCATGTCTTCTTCCACCAAACAGTATTTTCCTTCTTCTTCTTCTTATTTTTTTAGTCAGGGTCTCACTTTGTAGTTTAGTGTGGATTTGAACTCATGATGTAGCCCAGGCTGGTCTTGAACTTGTGGTGATCCTCATGCCTCAGCCTCCCAAGAGCTAGGGTTATAGGAATGTGCCACTGCACCTAGTTCAAATAATCTGCATTATAATATATTGCGACTAATTAATTTCAGACATTATCAAATGACTCTTTAATATGCTGGGCTAAATTTTTGTCCATTAATGCTTTAAATATTATCTGAAGATTTGTTTTATGCTGTTTTTACATCTTTTCTCTTTCTTCTTTCTCTTACTGTCCTGAATTGCTTTCTCATTTTGGTGCTTCCTGTAGCTTCCAAAGAGCAATGTAGGGGAATTAAATTGTGCTGTAATATTAAGTGCAATAAAATATATTTATGTAAGATATTTGATGGAAATTTGACTGAGCATAGAGTTCTAGGTGGAAGTAATTTTCTTTGATAATTTTATTTTTTTCTTAAAAGAGACTGAAAAATAGCATTAAAACAAATATTACAAATGATAAAGAATTTTTTTTAGCAGAACCAGGGATTGAACTCAGGCTCTTGTGCCTTCCAGGGAAGCACTTATTCCACTGAGCCATCTCCCTGGCTCCGATACAGAATTTTAATAAACAAAATAATATGAATTTTACAGAATTTGTTGTATTGCTTAGTGTTCTCTTCCAATTAGTTGCCTTCTAGATATTTGCATGTAAATTTGGAAGAACAAAGAAAAAAATATATATATATGAAATTAAGAGGAGAAAAAGGTCAAAGAATTGAAAAAAGAAGACAAAACAAAATAAGCACCAACTTCTCCTTTCCACAGACCAGCAGAAATCCAGAGTAAAATTGTACAAACCACCTTGCTTACATACATAGATATATCTCTTTCCCCCACCCCCTCTCCTGTCCTCCTCAACTCAGTAATTCCTCCCTTTTGAACATGTTTATTCCCATTTTCCCAGTATCTATTGTACCCTTCAGATCTTGGTATTCCTGACAGACCTAGATAAAACATTCCTAAAATTCATCTAGAACCAGAAGAGACACAGAATATCAAAAGCAATCCCGAGAACCAAAGGAAAGGTAGGAGGCTTAACAACCCCTGACCTAAAATTATACTATGAAGCTACTGTAATAAAATCAGCATGGTACTGGTATAAAAACTGACCTGAGGATTAATGGAACAGATTAGAAGATACAGACATGATGGCAAATATACTCAACCACCTTATCTTTGATAAAGAGGCCAAACATGTTCATAGAAGAAAGAAAGCCTCTTTAATAAATGGTGCTAGAAAAACTGGCTTTCCACATGCTGAAGGCTAAAATTAGATCCATATCTATCACCATGCACTAAACTACAGTCAAAATGGATCCAAGACTCAAACATTAAAACAGAAACACTAAATCTCCTGCATGAAAATATAGGTAGAAATCTTTTTTTTGTTTGTTTTTTTTTGTTCCTCGCATGCCTTCAGGGCATGTTTGGCCAGCGGGAGAGTTGTGAGGTTCGAACTCCAGCCATCTGAGGCTGACAGCTTTGAGCTAGGCCCAGGTCCCCGATAGAAATCTTAAAGACATAGGTGTAGGTAGAGAGTTCATGAACAAAACCAAAACTGCACAGGAAATAATTCAAAGGATCAACATATGAGATCTCATCTTTTTTAAAAGTTTGTGCACTTCAAAGGAAATCTAACAGAGTTAAGAAGAAAACCCACAAATAGGGAAAAAATGATAGCCACCTGTCCCTTTGACAATGACCTTCTATCTAGAACATATAAAGAATTTGAAAAATCAAGCCCTCAATCTTCAAAGACCCAATCCAAAAATGGGCATCTGAGATGAATATAAACTTCTCAAATGAAGAAATGCAAATGGAAAGTAAATAGATGAAAAAATGTTTGACATCATTAGTCATTCAAGAAATGCAAATTAAAACAAACTGAGATTCCATCTCATCCCAGAAAGAATGGCTAACATTAAGACAACCCATAACAAATGCTGGAGGGTCTGTGGATGAAAGGGACCCCTTCTCCACGCTTGGTGGGAGTGCATACTGGTATAACCACTGTGGAAATCAGAGTGGAGATTCCTCAAAAAACTAGGATCAGAGGTCCCATTCAACACAGCTGTTGCCCATCTGGGTATTTTCCAAAAAGAACTGAAAACATACCACAGTGATATATGTGAACCCATGTTCATAGCAGCACAATTTTTTTGTATTTTTTAGTACAGAGTCTATAGGGTCTACAGGGTCTCACTATGTAGATCAGACTTGTAGTGATCCACCTGTGTTCAGCCTCTAAAGAGCTGGGGTTATAGGCATGGGCCACACGCCCAGTCTCAATTGCTGTCTCAGTGCGCTCTGGGGGTAGAGCTGGCATGGCATGCCAGGGATCAAACCCTGGCCACTGTGTCTGCCTAAGCAGGCACTGTACTCTGCTGAGCTATTTGGCTGGCCCCCTAGCAGCACAATAAATCCTGGAAGCAACCTAAATGCCATCAAAGGAGGAATGGATTAAAAAAAGTTATGCTATTTTATGGTGTTATTCAGCTATGAAAAAGGATAAATTTTAGGGTTTTATCAGTAAGTGGATGTAACTAAAGACCATACTCTTAAGTGAAATAAAGCAAACCACATGTGCAACTATCATATTATCTCCTTAGTGTGAGAACCTAAAAGAGAAAATAAAATCTTTGATAATTTTAAGTGATTTTTTAAAAGCACAGATCTATCTAAACCAATGTATTTGCTAAAATGCTTGCATCTAATCTTATTTTTATCTTCCATATGTTACCTATATTTTTATTTGTTGTAGTATTTTGTCACTAACTTAAGCATTTAAAAATTGAACAGTGATGTGCTCCTATATTTTACCTATTATACAAGAATATAGATGAACCATTTTACCTAGAAAACTAATTTACTGTACCTCTAATTTACTTAGCTTGTATTTTCTTAAATAATTTTATTGATAATTTCATTCTCTATTTCTCTGTCTCTCTGTTTCTCTTTCTCCTTCTGCCCCTGTCTTTGAAATACCTAAAATTCAAGTGCTGGACTTATGATATGGTCTTTCACTTCTTTTTCACTCTTGTTTACAATTTTTAAAAGATAGTTTTCAATATTTCTTTGAATTGTTTTAATTTCTTTTTTTTCTTTTTTTTTTTCCTGCCTCAGGTTTATTTGTACAAAGAGCACAGGAGGACACCAGCCCCCCCACAGATGGCACCCCAGTCCTTCTGTTTTTACATCAGCAGTAAGAGGCTTT